TATCTATCTATCTATCTATCTATCTATCTATCTATCTATCTATCTATCTATCTATCTATCTATCTATATCTAACTGTATCTAACTGTTTGTCCGTCTATCTGTCTCTCTACCTATCCATCAATATATTTATACACTTTTATCTATTCCGTAAAATAATAACAATGAGAAAAGCATTGCAATCAATCAATTTTTTTCTTCCTTACTGCCATACTATTTTGTCTAACTGTTTGATTGTCAACTTCATGTTGTTTACAAACCCTCTCCAAAATGCCATAAATAGTCTATAATTCTAGTGGAGGAACCGTATTGTTTATGCATTTACTTAAAGGTATTCAATTTAGTATTATTATTTTGTTTTATTATTTATATATTATCCATGGGGCAATATTTAACAGTACACTACAGAAAAAAACAACAACAAATATATGTAGGATAAAACAAAAATCAAAGAACTCATTACATGTTCAGTTTAAGACAAGACTGGACCCCGAGGGACGGAACTGGTGCATCACCCCAACAACAGACAACAAAGTTATATGTTGAACTAAAATACATTTCACATGCAGTTGGAAGATTTTTGGATTAGAAATGTATTGGTAAATTGAAAAAAAAAAGGCTCCATGCATTGTGCAAAACGTCTTTCAAATAATTAGTTTAAGTTTTGGAAGATATAATTAAAGATGCTTGTGCTTAGCTGTGTATTTTCTTTTAGCTCTACCAAAAGAAGACAAGTTCCCTAATGAACAACAGGATACTTACATGAAGGCTGGTCAAATGTAAGAATCAGTCAGACTTTGTAATTTGGGTGCACTGACCCTTCAACACAGCGGACACTCTTTACATGTCTACTGTACTGTGGAGGGTGCAGACATATGCAGCTTCTCATTTAAAACCATGACTTGAAACAGGCCCCTGACAGAGAGCCATTTGAAAATGTACATATCAGAGCAGACATGACAGCAAAAGTACAGAGTCAAACCGACATGCAGAGGAAAAACATGATGCTGGTTCAATCTGTTTACATTAGAATAAAGAAAATGCAGTACAACCGTGCCAATAAGAGCCTGAAGACATGCTGGGTGAACAAAACAAAGTAACAAACATGGCTCAAATAAATTGTGTGAGAGTAAAGTCAGACAGCGCTGTTCCACAGTGGTCCCGGAAAGATGACAGGTTTGGCCACAGAGTGTAGTTTATTTTGAAAAATGAAATGTTTGTTATGGCTTATGGATTCTGTGACTGTTGGATCCCGCTGGCCTCGGATCAGCGCTCTTTTGCCATGCTGTCATATATTTGGGATGATGATGTCAACAGTGTCTCTGACAGATCCCTGATTGTTGGTTTCGACATCTTGCACACACACACGCACACCCACGCACACACACAAGCAAATGCATCTTAGACTCTTCCTCCTGCTGTTGTGTCCGTCACATGCATACAAATGCAATTTGTTTATATGATTTAAATGGCTTCTTGGTAATATTATGTGGAATGAAAAGAGCCAACGTTTCCCTGGCACCAAACACACAATCACTGCAAAAAAAGAGCTCTGCTCTTTGTGGCCTTGGCTGACACATCGGCTGGCAGACCCAGAAAGAGAAAGCTGCCGACATACTGGCAGAGCAAAAATGAAAAACGCAGGGATCAGAGGAAAAAAGGAGGCTGTGATATACATTTTCTTACTTTCTCTCTCCATTTGTCTGTTTAATTGGTAGCTGGAGATTATCCCAGCTGCCGGAAAACATGGATGCAGTATTGATGTCATACATGCATTAGCGGCCTCTATCTCATCAGTTATTGGGAACAAGACGATTCAGGGAGCTGAATCAAACAACAAAATAAGTAATTTATCCCTGCCCTCTAGACGGACACATGGAAGAGTTTTCTGACCTGACACCTCTAGGACAGCATCACATGTCTGTGCCTTCCAAAAGCAACACAAGTTAAAAAGTAAAAGAGTTTTATGATGTGGCAGCACTGTTTAAGGTTTGGTTAAGGTACAAAACTCACTTGGTTAAGGGAGACATTGTGGTTTGGGTTGAAATGAGTAATTTGTAAAGGTTGAGAGAATTTTTGGTTTGGATGACAATGACTTCACTACTTCATTAAGGTTAGCTTTGTTGTCGTGGTTACAATGATAAACATATGGTCAAGGTTCGGGATCGATTGAGGTCATGCTTGGAAAAACAAACCAACACTGACTGTTGGGTGCAAACGGAAATGAATAGTGGTGTTAAAGTTTCTCTGGAAGAGGACGAGTTCGTGCAGCGATAAAGACACGTCCCTCTCTGGCTTCCCACCACATTGGAAGTACGTTTTTCTTGCTTTCGGGTGTGATAATAAAAGTTAATCGAGCAAAAAAAAACAGGTCAAAATCAATATAAGATGTACAACTTAAAGATGATGAAATTATTTTATAAAAATCAGGGTGTTACGTACATAAGAAGCAGTAAAATGATCCACTAAAACGACACTTTCAACTGCTGCTCTGTGTTCCTAAATAGAACGTGGGAATGTTTAATCAGTTCAAGTACAACAAGACCAGCTTCCATGAAACATTAAAAGTAGTCTTTGGGTATAGAAGGCGACAAAAGACAGGGTATCGGTTCCTCCCAAACAACGATATGATGCCATGCGTATGTGGGCATGACATCACACGGTGACTGACGTGTGTGTGTGTGTGTTTTGGCACTGCATTGGGAGGGTCAAATTCAAACCTTTGGCATGGCCTGTGGACAGGCACTGGCAAGGCAAACTGGCAACTCTAAGATAGAGAGAGAGAATAACAATTACTGTATTCATTGTCACTGAGACAGTCTTCATCAAACCAGTCAGGTAAAATGGCCCTTGATGCTTGTCTGGAATTGTTCCATAAAGTTAAATGATGTTAAAATGAACTTATTTTTGTATTTTTGTATCTTTTATTTTACCAGGAATATTTGGAGTTGGTTTATTCGTAGGGCTGCAGATGTCTGCCACTTCCGCGACTCATTGGGCCTCATTGCACGAACATTGCACAGACACGGAGACGACCGAAGCCGCTGCTCTGGTAACGTTTCCTGCAAATGCCCCAACCAACCAATAAGCGTCACTAGTGCACCTAAAAGGATATGATCCCTCACTGGCTTCCCACCCCATTGATAGCAATGTTTTCTGGCTGTTCAGTGCAGACGGCAAACATGCGGAAAATAATCTGAAAATGATTGTGCAACAAAAATATGTGACAAATAAACTTAATGGGCATTGTTATGACGGGAAGGTTTGGGGAATTTCCAGCACAGTTATTTTCCGTCACAGTGTCAGTTGGTTTCTAGTCCTGTTTGACTTCTACCCGCTGTGCCGACCCCCTCTCCTTCCGGCAGCAGACTCAGGCCTGAACCTTGCTGCTCAGTGATTGACACATTCTGGCAGAATAAATTAAAACCTCAAGCTGTGACAGATCCCGAAATAGCAGGAAGCTGACGCTGACCTAAAGTCTCTTGTGCCACATGTCAGCAAGCTTAAAAAACTTGGCAGAACATTCTGCACAAAGGAAGCATGTGCAGGTGTTTGTGCGTTTCTGGTGCGTAAATACTGTACATGAGTCAACAAGCGCTAATCCACGTTGATGCTTTACCTACACTTGCAGTGTCAGCAATTAATCCTACAGGTGGTCTTAAACTGAATCCATCTGCCGCAGTTTCACTGCTTTTTATTAAATCTTGCGGAAATCAATTTCAACTAGTTCAATTAAACTGAAACCACTTTGGAATTTGAAGGCAGTGGCAGATGGATCTATTTCTTCAGCCAGCTGTTCTCTGGAGGGTGACTCTGGGGTGGGGGGCTAAGCCCCAAGATGTTTAGTGGCGTAGGACTGCGGGTCCCTTTGCCAAGTCACAGAACTCCTGGTTCTTGCCAAGCAGGGGGTGGGTGAGAGAAAATACCATTTAGCTGGCTGGTATTTATAGATATGTTAAGAACTTGTGCTCAGGCCGGGCCGAGGTGCTGACGACGTAAAACGAGAGGACGCTTCCAGAAGTCGAGTGTCAGGGCACACAGATAAAAATACCCGGTGAAAGATGGGCCTGGTCATTAGTGGCGCAGTCTGGCATGTGACATGGCAGCATTTCAGAGGTGATTTACGATTATTACTACAGCTAACCTATACCTCTCCCTTTCCTGCCCCCACCCTCCATCCCAAATTGGTTTGCCAAATGGAATGGTGCATGGGGTTTATTTCAGGGGCGCAGTGCACAGAATTTTAGACTTTGGCAAAGTGCCACAGTTGGGTTTCATATTTTATCACATTATCAAAAGAAACACAAAAGCGGTGTTTAAATAATCTATCCTGTTAATTAAGAAGGTAGGTGCACGAGTCGAATGCATGCTACATTACTACTCATGTTTCTGACCTATGCAGGTGCAAGGGTTATTTTTATGACCATGTTAAAACAGTGTTGATTTGCATATGACATGACTTACTATTGGATATATATATATATATATATATAATTAATTCTGCATTAAAATGATGTGAGAGATAGAGAGAGAGGAATAATGAGCTCATTGCAGAACGCTGCCTTGCTTAATTGGCAGAGCGAGCTGCCACAGGGAGGAACAAAGGAAACATTTAACACATCGTAAATTCCTGTAACGTCCTGCCGAGGAGCTGCCGCTCTAGTTACACTTGCAACTTTTTTTCGCTGACTGTCCGGCAACAGAAAGAGCCAAACATGATATATTAGTAAAAGACAGCTAAAGCAACATACTAATTAGGCTTTTTCTCCATGTTTTAGGTTTCTTTATGGCCTCCCATCATCATTGCAAAATATTTGTTTATTCTTCAGAAACATATAAAATAAGGAATCAGATGGGCAGACAGTGGATTTCAGTCTCAGGTGCTTCCAACCGTCATGTGGCAGGAAAAGTTCTTTCGATTTCAAATGAAGACATTTAACATTTAAAAGCTTGACATACGCTTTAACAAAAAGATATCTGGCATTAACACGCAAAGCCTTTCAGACATAATCAGAGCTATTTATCACGTAAAGAACATGACTGATGTTTTCTTCTCCTCATCTGAAGTAGTGTGTATTGAATATCGAGCCCAGATTTAGACTTGTATAGTGTTTCTCAGATAGGAAAGCTGTGCAGCTGAATGCTGTTAACGCACACCAATGCAGCACTTCTCTCCAAGAGTCTGCAGAGAAGTGCTACAATGTCTCGCTGAATTCCTTCCCAGTCTTTTTTGTCCCTCATGGCAAATGATGGAGCATATGCTTTACTCGCCGAGATGGTGATCAAGTGTGTGAGAGCAGTTGAGGGAAGAGATGGAAAGAGGGAGGGAGAGAGAGAGTGTGATTTTGTCCCACATTTAGCTTCCTCGGAGACTCCTCACTCGAGTGGAAGCATGATACAGTACAGTACGTCCCACATAGATGTGTACACCGTGTGTCTGTGTGTGAACACAACAAGTACTGCATGTGTGTGGGTTTTTCTTTGGGGGGTTTCGGGGGGTATCAGGCCAAGGAAATTAGTTTACCATCAGCTGTCCTCTGGCTTTCATTCGGTCCCAGCCGCTGTCCAGTATTTCTTCCAGCTCCCTCCACCTAATGGCGTTTTACTGCACCACCCTCGGGAGGCTACTGTGGCCAGATCCAGAACATTTGGCTTTATGTGGATTGAATGTTTTATGGTTATGGACATAATATTTAACTATAGGAACAGTCTCACATGAATCCACCCCCACACCCCTATCCTCAGCCCTAATAATAATTACACCAGCATATGAAAGGTAAGTGGGAAAAGTCTGTAGGAGAGCACAAAGTTATGTAACTGCTCATACTGTTAAGCAGCGGTGGAATGTAACTAAGTAGATTTACTCAAGTACTGTACTTAAATATAAATAGAAGTATCTTACATGAGTATCTTTTTATACTTCTACTCTACTACATTTCTGAGGGGAATATTGTAGCCTATAGGTTTTCTTTCATTGCAATTATTTGGCAGTTTTAGTTACTTTATAAATTAAGACATAATATCTGAAAAGGTACAGTTGAAACCACTGGTCAATTAATCAATGGATGGAAATTGTATTGGCACCTATTTTATTGATTGCTGTTATTTTTCATGCAAAAGCATTTCATTGTTCCATTTTCACAAATGTGAGGATTTGCTGCTCTTCTTTTTTATTATTTTGATTCATTTTTACAAAAATATTGAGGTTTGGACTGTTGGTTGGACAAAACAAACATTATGAAGTACTTTGGACTTGGCAATTGGGACGGCATTTCTACCAATTTTCCAAATTTTTACAAACCAAACAAACCATAATGGAAGAAATCATCAGCAGATTAATCCGTAATTAAAATAATCATTAGTTACAGATATTAAATAGTTAAGATTGACCTACAGCAGTAAAAATCCATAATTTCCATCAATGCATGAGTAATAAAAATCTGATGGCATTTTTATGAATTGGATACTTTTACTTTATATACTTTAAGTACTTTTTACTGAGTATTTTTACATTATAGTGTTAATACTTGTACTTATAGGATCTGAATACTCAAGTAGGACAAAAATGTAACTGTGTGCATGGATTTATTAAGTCTTCTCTTTGAAGTTTGTATCACAAAGGGAGAGAGAGAGAGAGAGAGAGAGAGAGAGAGAGAGAGAGAGAGACAGAGACAGAGAGAGAGAGAGATCAGCTGATCACATGGTGTGCTGTCATGTTAAAACAGTTAGACTTTGATAGCTGTTGCTGCAGTGGTCAGGGGTCAAATCATGTGTGATTTTTACTGCTGTGAGTTCAATGTGTGCAGCTTATGTGTGTGCATATGAGATAAAGAGAGAGAGAGAGAGAAAGAGGGAGAGAACTGCCATTATAAATTATAAAATGTGAGTGTTTTGTACATGTGAGCAAATCTCTTTGCATTAGTTATCACCCCAGAAACAGCTGATATTAGATCCTGCAACTAAAAATAGCCTTGCACTCAATGCTGTCTTCAAGATTGTAAACTGAACTTGTGAACGGTTCACCATGCTGCGTTGTCTGATGTTATTGCCACCATCTACTCCCACCACTGAGTATTGATGAGGTATCTTGTAAATGTTGAATACCAGCTAAGATCCAAGTGTTTCACAGGAATTCTTGATAAAATTGGGTCTCGTTTGGGGAAAAATACCAGCTGGATGCAGGGTTTTTTCGCATGTGGTCATAAAGACATATGTATCCTGTATGTACCTATCAAACAAAGACACCCTCTCCACACCTGTGGAATCCTGGGAAACCTGATATATTTTATAATCATTTTAAAAGTCTTCAACCCTAGATCTCACATGTTTTGTGAAGTTCTTATTTTAGATTAAATGATGTTATGTTATATATATTATCACAATTGATAGAAGTCATTTTTCACCAAAGTCGGAGCAGTGTATTACTCATTAGATGATCACACCTACACAAAGAGTGACCTTCATCTGATTTGTCTTGCAGTTTCTAGCTTAATGTTACTCTTCTCTCTTCTTCATCACCCGGATGAGGGTGTTTCTAACGTGCACAGGGCAGGACGGAACTGCAAGAGATTTTTCAAAAAAACGAAAACTTTAACTCCTCCTATTTTGCAAAGAAGTCAGGAAGAAGAGTCGGGAGGTTAGCGCCTAAAGCTGCTTCTGTATTTGAAAACAAAACAAATGAGGAAGGGAATAGGACGCGTTTTATGTAACAAGGGGTTTATGAGTGTTTTTGTTTTTTTTGACCTAAAAGTACCGAACCTGAGCACTGGCCGAGCAAATACCAGTGAATCTGTGAAAGCGAAAGTAGTCTGACAGCCACGTGAGACATCAACAGAATGGCTGCTAACGCATCGCCGTCAGAAATGGATTATACCTGCCCTGTGTGCTGCGATATATTTAAGGATCCTGTTGTCTTGTTGTGCGGTCACAGCTTCTGTAAGCACTGTCTTCAGGAGTGGTGGAGACAGAGTGGACAACAGACGTGCCCGGTCTGTAAGCAAATGTTTCCAATGGCTCAGCCTACACGTAATCTGGCACTGAGAGACGTTTCTGAGGCCTTGAGGCGGGAGAAGATTCAGAGTGCTAACTCAAGATCTACGGAGATCTGCAGACTGCATGGTGAGAAACTCAAGCTCTTCTGTCAGGACGATCGACAGCTCATCTGTGTGATTTGTAGGGATGCACAAAAACACAAGAAACACAACATCGTCCCCATCGACGAAGCAGTCAAACCCTGTAAGGTAAGCAGATATGTATAGTTTAATGAAAACACCGATAAATGTCTTTAGTAGTTTTTATAATTCTTTATATTGCACAATGCAGGCAAATGTGTTGCTAATCCACTGTTTACTCTGCATTTAATTTATACACCTTTAATTTCTATAGGCCCCACTCAAGCTTAAGATGATGCATTTAAAAACCAAACTGGGGAAATTTAAAGCACAAAAATCCAAGTGTGACAAAATTGCCGGCCACATCAAGGTAAGTCTCAGGCATTATGGTTATATCGGCAAAAAGCAACATGTGCTACCTTCGTAAAAACAATGTGTTTCTCCTCCTCAGCTGCAGGCTCAGCAGACTGAGAAGACAATCAAAGAGGAGTTTCAGAAGCTCTACCAGTTCCTGCAGGCAGAGGAGGCTGCTAGGATGGATGCAGTGAGGAAGGAGGCAAAGTTCAAGAGTGTAGCAATGGCCATCAGGATTGTGAATTTGACTGCAGAGATCTCCTCCCTCACAGACAAAATCAAAGCCATAGAGACTGAGATGAAAGCTGAGGACATTTCATTTATGATGGTACTGGTTACCTGTGTGAATTCATATTCTAATCTAAATATTGAATATTTAAAGAAATGTATAGGTATTGATTTGTTATTCTGTTTTCTCTTTATTTGACAGAATGTCAAATCCACCATGGAGCGGTAAGTTGTTTCCTGAACACTATCTATCAAAGTACAGCTGAGTGACAGTCAGGGCTGATGGGAGGTAGGGACATTATGTGGGAATGATGCACTCTGCCACTGACATGTCAAATTACTAGAGGGGTCACTGATGATTTAGCCAGAGAAAATGCACCAAATAAAAAGACAACCAATGTGGGGTATTTCAAAATATTTGACTGGTATTTGGTGGCTGCTTAATATTCCTTCAGATCCCAATGCAACCTACCAGACCCAGAGACTCCATCAGGAGCCCTGATCGATGAGGCCAAACATGTGGGGAACCTGCTGTTCACAGTCTGGAAGAAGATGAAGGACATAATCCAATACAGTAAGAAGTGTTTCTGCCATATGTTTACATTTTAATCTGCAGTATCATGTACAGGTGACCAATGAAATGTATCACCAAATAAACACCAGGCTGTTCTCTTAATGCCTTAAGTTAAACTTTTACCTTTTATTTTAATAAACATCTGACCAAATGTTCCCTTTTGTTTCTATATTTTCTCTGAAGGTCCTGTGACTCTGGACCCCAACACTAGCGGCTCACTATTGATCATATCAGAACACATGACCCGTTCAACAGAAAGCAGCAAGGACCAGCCGCTTCCTGAAAACCCAGAAAGACACTGCAGAGATGTCATTCTTGGCTCTGAAGGCTTTAGCTCTGGAAAACACAGCTGGGAGGTGGAGGTGGGAGGTTATTGGACAGTTGGTGTTGCTGCTAGAAGCAAGGATCTACTCTCTGAAAAGGTCTGGGGCATCTTCTCGTGTTGTTGTACTCCATTCCTTTGTGGACGTCATTATCAGAAAGCTGATGGTATTGTATCCGAAGATCCACTTCCCCAAAAGGTCAGCGTGCAGCTCGATTATGACAAAGGAATAATATCATTTTTTGATCTCGACAGGAAAACACTCGCACACACCATCAAATACACTTTCAAAGAAACTGTATTTCCGTATTTCGGTGCGAATGCAAAACTCCTTCCAGCTGAATTTTCAGTGAGGATAAGAAAACCCAGACCAACGTTCAGCATTACATGACTAACAACAAGATGAGGCCTTATTTTGGGACCTTAAGCGTTAACAATATGACTCTGATTTCAGTATACTAATAAACTTTGTCTATCTCTGTATCTTCTTCACATGTTATGTGGTCAACCAAAGAAACGTGAACAGTAATTGTTATCAATCATCACAGATGGTTTTCCTGGTTCCAATTTGGTTTAGTCCGCCTTAAAGCGGCACTGCAGTGATTTTATCAGGCGGCAACCGCACATTTTGTAAAATAAAGCCAATGCAGAAGTGTTTTAATCTGGCATTAACCCATACTAGGGACAAAAGGCGAATGCAACAGACTATTAGAGTTGAATCATGTAAATATGTTATCAGATTAAGACAATGTTCCTGTTTTCAATATAATAATAATAATAATACATTTTATTTATATAGCGCTTTTCAGAGTACTCAAAGACACTTTAAATTAAAATCATTATATATAAAAGCAATACACTAAAAACATAAAATACACAATATCGGTCACACATTAAAAGCAATTTTGAACAGGTGGGTTTTGATTTGAGATTTGAATGTGGAAAGGTCAGTGCAGTCTCGGATATGTTTGGGGAGAGAGTTCCAGAGTTCCAATATGTTTCCCTGTTGTGGGGGAGTTCTTATCTGAACTGAGGGTGTAAGGTTCATTTACAGATTTTTTTTTTTTTTTGGGTAAAATCTGTGATTTGGGGCTATATAAACAAAACTTAGCTTGTACGTGCTTCAATATCAAGTCAAATGTATTTCAAGTAATTACTTCAAGAGCTCTTATGTACATGCCAGCTGTTGGGCAATGAATAAAATAGTCAAACTTAGCTCTACAGCATCTGGTCTGGTGCAATTGCCGATCACGCAGGGTGTCTACAGTAACGTGGCTCTTTTGATTGTTCTTAAGAAAAAGCCTTGAGGTTGAAAAAACAAACAAATAAACAAATATGCAGCTCTCAGCCAGTCTCAACGTCGTCATTAGGAATCTCCAGAGCATGCACGCATAGCAGAGAGATGAATCATTCTCTCTCTGACACACTCACACACATGAGTCTGAATCCCCACACTGATACTGAATCTCAATGGTATTACAGCTGGAATGCCTGCTATGTTTTTTCAACTAATGAAAGAATGAAGAAAAACAAACAGAGGGGCCAAATTAAAAGAGAAAAAAAAGCATTGAGAGAAGAAAACACACTGAGGTAAAAGAGGAAATAGAGCGAGAAAAGAACGAAAGAGTGTCTCTTGTCCAATTTGTATTCCTCTGCATGTTTTACATGATCAGTGTTTCTGAGTCTCTTCTCTCAGCTAATGAAGGTTGAAGATCAAGAGCTGACTGACACAACATTTGCCCCGATTACCTAAGATGAATTTCATTCGAATTAGAAAAAGCTATAGAGAAAGAGTGTCAGCCGGAGTGATTACTCATCTGTGAATTTAATCAGGCAAAGTGTACTTTTCAAGTTTTAATTTCAGTATTGGACACGAAGATGTTTTCATACTTTTATTCCAAATTTAATTCAAGACTGTGGGGGAATTTGGCGACTTGGCATCAATCCATCATTTTATAAGTAGGCATCTTTATAGGGTTCAATTTTCTGTCAGATTTCACATTTCGAATAAAAAATTTGCATTTTTATTTTTTTAAATACTTTTCTCTCTACAAATCATCATTTCTGTATAAACCATTACTCCAGTTCAAAGGAATGGCAGCAATCCAGCGTAGCCAACTTTTTTCTTTCTTTCTCAAAATCCCATTTGAACGATCAATCATTCGATGTTTACCAGAGAGCACCAAGGAGCCACTGAGCAGAATACGTCAGATGTTATTTTACTGAAAGTCCCGTGTTTCTCCTAATCAGATGAAATAAACACATTAATCTGGGGGATTTCAAAGTGCTGGCCATTGTTTTTGTAACCGGGTGGAAAGTACTTTTGTCCCAAAACATTATGAAGAGAATCTATCACATTTAACAACAGTGATTTTAACTAAACTAAAAGGCAAATCAAAGGTATTTGTGTGTATGTGTGTGTGTGTGTGTGTGTACTGTATGTGAGCGTTCTACTTATAAATCATACGTGTGAGAGATAAAGTCGATGAAAAAGAATGAAACGGGATGATGGAGAGATCCAAGGCGGCCCATCTCCTGGTGATCAGAGGGACAACATGGCTCTGAACTGGGGCCAAAACAGTAAGCAGATGTCAAGTTAAGAGACAAATAGAAAGAATACAAGAGAGACAGAGAGAGAGATGTGTCAAAGGCCTGAAGGTTTGAGACAGAAGACACTCAATAACTATTTCGTTTGACTTGGCTTTTGAGGAGAAGACAGAGTGTGTGTGTGTGTGTGTGTGTTCAGGAAAGATTCGCAAATATAGATGGCGGACCGGAGAGAGAATAACTGTTACACAATGCTGAAGCAAGCATAAAATGTAATCAAATATGAGCAAGACATGCCGTACGAGGACGCCACAATTACTGTCTAAATAAATGCAGTGTATAATGCAAAGTATAGATTCAAGAACACACACATGGAAACTCACGTGTGCACATTTATGTGGATGTTTTTCCATCTGCTCCTTGTTTTCAGGTCCCTTTTGGTCAGTTTTTGCTCATGTTTTTGTGGTCTGGATATCTTCAAGAAAAAGTCTCCAAGTATATGATGTTGTCATTTCTCTCTCTCTCGAAGGGTTTATTGTTTTGTTTGGCATTTATGTTTCGTTTGGAGGCAATCATTGAAGAATTTGAGCAGCACGTGTCCTCAGCAATCATAATCATGAAATCCCTACCGGTCTCACACACACACACCAGACACACACGCACGCTAGGCCTGATTACTACTGGGTCTGGTCTGTACAATGTTATAGATACAGATTGAATGTGTCAGTCAGGACCTCACAGGAGGATATCGGGAGAGATGGTAAAGGGCGGAAGGAAGGAAGGAAGGAAGGAGGAAAGGAAGCAAGGAAAATGAAGTTTGGTTTTTAGTAATGAATGAAGTGCAAGGTTGAAATTTGAGTAAAAGGAGGCTGGATTTCAAAAACACAGGTCTGACAGTTAAGATCCTATTCTTGTGTTCTACAAAATATCTCTACATAACAAAGTGCTTTGTTAAAGCTCCATCTCCCTCTCTCTAACACACACACACACACACACACACACACACACTTGCATTGGCCAGCCTAGATGGTCAAGTGCTGTTATAAAGTGCTGTCTAGTGTTCTCTCACTCTCTAAGCCCCCCGAGAGTAGATCAATACTCACTCAGCATCAAGTTACTGCTAATGTCTTCATGTTTTTAACCAGGCAGTGTGTGTGTGTGTGTGTGTGTGTGTGTCTGTCCCTGTCCCTGGTGTGACCCAAGTTATAATTATCATTAAATGTCAATGAAGGCGATAGGAAGAGCTAGACTGCAGATAAGTCCCAAAGCCCTGACTCACAGCGCCTCCTAAGGACCTTCCTTAGAAATTGCAGCCTCAGTAAAGGATGCATTTACTTCTGTGAGAGATAAGAAGGTGAATCATGTCATGTGGCAATGACCTTATGTGTGTGAATCACTACCTTTTGACTTGCAACGTCAATGAGAAGAAGGCCTTTACCTCATATATCCACCTCATCCATTACCAGCCTCCATTCAGCTACTGTTTCACGTCCACAATTATGTTGCTGAGTCATACAGGATAGTTAACACATTAATAATATATGTCTGTCTTGCTGAATCAACAGGTATACATTAACTTGAATAGATACTCTAGATAGCGATCAGTGTGATAAGCGGTTCGCAGGAGTTAAAGGAACATTTAATTAAAACCTATTTATTTTCATAGTTTTGGTCATTTATATCCGCTATGACAACATTGTGCTCACAAAAGTAAATGCAGAGATCTGAGAGCAATAAGTAAGTTTGTCTGACAATCCATCAGGTTTTAAACAAACCAATTTTTTAGCCCAATTCATTAAAAAACTCTGGATAGTTGTCGTACAAAGTGTAGACCTTCGCCCCTGGAGACGGGGGTTGAAGAGTTTGGGCCTGTGGGTGAGGCAGGAAGCATGAGGAGTCACAGGTGGATTTTCAGAAAGATTTAAAACTTTTATTTTTAGCGTATACTCGAAGACAAAACTGACCCATGGAGCATCATCACCACCAACTGCAATACCAACTTTCTAAACAAATAAACTGCAAATAAAACAAAACAGGACTTAGTCTTAAATACAGTCTTAAGAAATAAACAAAATCTCCAAACTAGAAATTGCAATCCCCCCCCCCCCCCCCCCCCCCCCATGATGTGGGGAGCACTTGGTATATTCTGATTGGCCACTTCCTGCATTTAAGAGCTCTGTTTTTGTGGGTGCATCTTTTGCTTTTTTGGCCTTTCAAGATGTCCTTCCAGCAGCAGCACCCAGCAGCAGCACCCTCAGCTCTGGTAACTAAAAGAGAACGGAAATTAGACCAACTACAGAACTGAATGGTGCACTATAAGAGAAAACTAATTTACTGCCAACAATTCTAAATATAGTATGATTATGATGTATGAAACAAAAGCCAGTGTCATAATCATCATCATCATCATCATCATCAGTTTGCTAATGTATGAGCAATGTGGTATAATTATTAGGGCCGCTGTCACAAAGACAACCTGATCGAATACAACAGAATGTTTTTATGCCACTGATCATTTCAGAAAGGCCGCTGTGAGAAAATGGGTTCTTTGTTTAGATTATCAAATTGACAATAAATCCTAGATGTTTGTTTTTGGCCACTAGCATTAGCATTAACATTAGCTGGCTAGTGTTAACCACGTGGCTAATGCTAATGCTAGCAGCCAGAACCTGAGACTTTCTTTGGTCCTGGCTTCATTGTTCGCGACCCAGCGGCAGAACGATTTGCAAAGTGAAAGCGAGGCTTATAGGGAACCAATTTAAATGGTGGTGATTGCGTCATATATTATATTTATTAAAAACATTTTTTCATTATGTCACCATTATGGTTTTTATTCAATGTATTTAGGAGTCCACACACCTAGATCTCAAGTAATATAATCACTACTGAGTGAAATTGTAACCAAAATTCAGACTCGGATTGTATGAAACTGTAATTTCCAATGTGAATTATTTACACAAAAACATTAAGTATAAACACAAAATTTACACAACACTTCTTTATTTCAGTATCGCCACATCATTACAATCGAAAGAAAGTGATGCGCCCCATTCCACCCCTTCTTTCTCTCACCTCCACCTCTCTATCATTCCCTCATCTCTCCATCCCAATCAATCTCTCCCTCCCCCCTCACTAATGCACTCTTTCATGTGCTCTCCTATTTCTCCCCCTCTCTGCTGCCCTCTCTCCCTCACCCTGATGTCTCATGGCCTTTTTGTAGGCCCTCTACATTTTTGGAGGTAATGTGATCCCCCCCCCCCATTTCTCCCCAG